AACTGTACACAAAAAGAACATAGTGCACTCAAAATGAAAACTTTTGCTGGAAATTCTGTTATTTCAGCAGCCTTTATAAATTCTGTTTCATTTTAAAGAAAAATTGTCTCAAAAACTCCTTGATGTTTAAGATGCCTGTTGGACAAGTAATTCATTTACCTATATCTCATGACACGAACTCAAAGAATACTCTTTCCAAACTAGCAGATGTCTCTACTTACCCCAGAAAGCATCATAAAATTCTCAAAAGAAAGTGTTTTAATTCATGCTCATCTATAAAAAAATATGTAGTTATATATTTCTTTGGGGAGACATGACAAGGGAAATTACTTAGGATGCCAACAACAACAACAAAATAATGTCAAATACTGTTGTTAAACGTCATTGAGTTGATTCTGACTCATAGCAAACTTGTATTGAGTTTCCGAGGAGTGATTGGTGAGTTTGAAACATAAACTATTTGGTTAGCAGTCTAACAATACACCAGGACTCCATCCAAATAGACTCTTTGAAACCAAGCCCACTGTGCTGTGATTTTAACAGCAGGACATGGCAGCAATTTTTACCTAAGCAAAAACAAATTAAAAAATTTCAAGTGAACAGATTTTCTCTCTTTCTGGTAACTGGAAAGAATAAATGTTCTTTTGACCAATTTATCCTTTGATAATTTACCTGTCCAATATGACCTCTTTTCCTTCCAGGTTTTCTGAGGCACTTTCAACACATTCGTTTGTTTGTTTATTTTTCCTGGTGTGGTGTCATATAGTAAGCACTGGGCTGCTAGCTGCAAGATAAAAGTTCACAAACACCAGAGGCTCCTCAGGCACTCTATACAGGGTCACTATGAGTCAGAACCAACTCTACAGCATTTAACATTACAGTCATCAGGTAGTTAGACTGCCAGAAGGTATGTCCTAGAGCTTTGAACCAGGGCCTTATACTCAATTGATTCTTTTTTATTTGCAAAGATTCCTTTCTTAGGAGGTGTATGGGTCATCTCTTATATACATATGCACACGCCACAGCTAAGAATTAGAGGAAACTGGCAGAGGTTAATTAGCTCCCCCATCTTCAGGCAAGTTAATGCATAGGCCTCAATTTAACCCCCTGAAACTTGCTGAAACTGATGAGGCATTGTCCTGAATACACATGCTATTGTTGCATTCTTAATATAGTGAGATTGATCAAAAACATACTTTGTTTTTTATACTTAATATGAAGAATTTGCAATTATTTGTAATAATATTGGAAAGCAATTTATTACTTCGATATTTTATAAATCTCTTAAAAAGCAGTCTATTTTTGAGAAAAACACAATCTGCTGCTTAAGAATAAAGGGTCACTGATACGGAGCCCTGATGTGACGCTGTGGGTTAATGTGCCAGACTGCAAAGCCATTTGAACTGCAAGTTCGGTGGTTCAAACTCACCAGCTCCTCCTCGGAAACCCTATATGAGGTCACTATGGATCGGAATTGACTCAACGGCACTTAACAACATCAACTATACAGTACCAAACTATCATCAGGGGACAAGCCTTGGAGAAAATGAGGGGGCTTCACAAAATTCATAGAAAAGTGTAATTAAAGGTAATGGATTCTTTCCCCACAAACTTTTTGAAAACCCCTTGTACTTTATTAAAATTAAAAATTTTTATATTAGTAATTGCCTTCCATGAAAATGGATTATGTAACTGTCAGCTCTTTTACACTTTTTTTTTTTTAATTATTATTATTTTGCTCAGTTTTCCTGTTCACTTTTTATAAAATTAGGTTTCCGAAAGCTTTTTAAAATTTTGTTGTGGAAATTAAAACTAATGTAAGGAGATACTAAAAAGCTTATGCCTGGTTTTCAGATATCATGGTTGTAAAAGGGTATTGTTGTTGATAAGTGTCCTTGAGGTGATTCGGACTCATAAGGATCCTATATAGGGGTGCTGAGGCATGACTGGTGGAATTGTGCTTATTTTACAGTACCACACCAGGCCTCCATATAAGGGTATTTGTTGTTTTTTGTTAAGTACCATTGAGTTGGTTCTAAATCACAGTGAACCTGTAAAGGGTTTCCTAGGATGAATGATGGATTCGAACTACCTACCTTGTGGTAGCAGTTCAGTGTTTATCCTATAGTGCCATACCAGGACTCCATAAAAAAGGTGTGTTGATGTTGTTGTTGTTGTAAAGCGCCATTCTACTCATAGCAATCCTGTATAGGATTTCCCAGGAGTGGCTAGTGAGTTTGAAGCCCCATCTTTGTAGTTCAAATTGACCTTTATCTGATAGTGTCACACCAGAACTCCATATGAGCATATGTTGTTACTGTTGTTAAGTGCTGTCGAGTTGATTCCAGCTCATAGCAACCCTGTATAAGATTTCCGAAGATCAACTGGTGGGTTTGAGCTGCTAACCTTGTGGTTCTAGGTCCGGTGCTGATCCTACAGCACCACACCAGGATTCCATATGAGGGTATGTTGTTATTGTTGTTAAGTGTAGTTGAGTTGATTCTGATCCATAGTGACCCTTATAGGGTTTCCAAGGAGTGGCTAGTGAGTTTTAACCACCAACCTTGGGATTCGGTGCTTATTCTATAGTGTCACACCAGGACTCCAATATAAAGGTATAGATGCCTGTCTTTATTAGTGAATTTGGACTGGAAAAATCCTCGTGTGTGTGTGTGTCTCAATTTCCTCCTAAAATGCTTATCCAACAGGTTGCTGTTAAGTGCCCACAAGTCAGTTTGACTCAGAGTGACCTCCCCCTATACAGGGTTCCCAAGTCTGTACATCTTTTAAGGAGGAGAAAACCTCATTTTTCTTCCTGAGGAGTGGCTGATGGACTCGAACCACCAAACTTGTGGTTTGAAGCCCAGTGTTTTATCATACAGAACCATGGTGCTTTATGATGTTGCTTAATATCTTTATCATTCAGTTTGCCATTTTTGGCATAGTTGTTGTCAAGTGTCATTGGTTCTGACTCATAGCCACTCAGTGTAGGGTTTTCAAGGAACACTTGGTGAGTTTGAACCACCAACTTAGTTCAAAGTGAACTTGTGGTTCAGTGCTTTGCCCCATAGCACCACACTAGGATTTTAGTGATATCTATTGGTAAGTGGGGGTGGATAGGTGTGGGGATATTGTTCTGTGATCATTTTAAATTTCTCAGTCATGTAGTGAAGTCCATCTCTTCTGATAGCTAAGGAAAAGATTTGGCTCATTTGACCAGTAAGCAGTTGCTTTGTATTCATTGATTTGTGAGAAATAATTTCAATTTCATATTGAATCATACCCATAATATATTGGTCACACTATAGAATAAAAGGACTCCTGGTGGTATGGTGCCTTAGGATAAGCACTTGACCTCAAGGTTGGCTTGAACTGCAAGGTAGGCGGTTTCTGTGAATCAACAGCACTTAACACCAATAGAATACAAAGATAATTATATGCACTATACATTTTGCTCCTAGAAATCACTAGTATCTTAAAGTAATCTTCAGAGTCCCCTCCGTGCTTTTCTATGGGGTGAGAGAGTGTGTGTGTGTGTGTGTGTGTGTGTTTAAATGTCTATGGGAACCTTTTGGCAAGACTTATTTTAGTAGGGTTCTTCACTTAGTCAATAGATAACCTATATTTTCAGATTCCAATTTAGGACATATTTATAATTTGTACTTTAATACATTCTAAGTTATTTTCTAATTACTAAAGTTGACTGTCTTATGTCCTAAAAGGCAAGTGAATTAAAGGGGTTTGGGTGTTAAGAGGAACATTATCATTATCTGAATTCTGCTAATGAATCCCTTTTTTTGATGCTTCTCTAAACTTTCAAGACTCGGAGTTAAACATGATTTTGCATCTCTGTTTAGACTTGCACTGGTGGTGGTGTACTGTGAGTGAGGCCAGTAAGGCCCTTACTGAAGAGAACATTCCAGAAGGAGTGCCTTAGCCCAGAGTACACTCATATTCACCTGACTCCTTTAACATCTCCCGGACTGAGCCTGAATCTCAGAATGGTAAGTGAACTCTTTTAGCCTCAAGTTAAAAAGATGATTAGTAAAGGTAAATTAATATTCTAAATGGCAACTTATATGTGGTGCTTAATTTTTAATGATCATTTTAGCACATAAAATACCTGAGATAGTATCATTGTCTGTAGTTGGGAGATTGCAGTTTTTAGGTGAACATGCAATTTTGGTGGCTCAAAAGTGCTCCCTTTTGATAGTTCTTGTGTACTGCATCTTATTGTTTTTTATGTGCTTCACAAGAGAATTGGGCAGAACAAATGAAGATCCCAAAGAATGTTTCTTTGAGAGTGACATTGTATTTTCCATGATTTCTGTTTTTTGACAGCCATTTGTTCTTTCTTGAAAAGTAGAGAGATTGAATGTTCATATACATACAGTATTTCACAATGGTTTGAATTTAATAAAGTTATCTTAAAAGAGGTCATTGTAACTCTTATTGTTAAATGCATTATTTATAAGCATTGCAGTATTCAATTTTTAAGCAATAGTTAATATACTCAGGGAGATTACATATATGTCTAAACAAAATGCACATGTCTTTTTACAGTTCAGAGAATTAAACTAGTCAGTTAAACATGTATCATAAAGTTCATTTTCAAATATTGGTGATGATTGGGAATAGAAATGGATTTATTCATTTATTGGAAATATCTTTAAGATGCATACACAACACAATATAATTTTCCACATTGATAAAGAATGTCAAATTAGTTTTCTTTCTGAAGTAAATATCAAGATTTTTATTTGAATAGAAACTGTTGTAAGTAACTCATTACTGAGAATTGAAATAGCCTATTTGAACACAGCCAACAAGAATGAAAAAAATATTAATTTGTCTTATGTTTACTATGATATTAACTTCAAATCATCTCATTTTAATTAAACTTTTTGCAAAGACAATACATATATTTGAGGTAATGGAGAAAGCACTAATAATTAGAGTTAGTGATTATTTACTTAAGTTATTCCTGTGCTCTTACAAACTTCCTAATACAAAAGAAATCGATAGCTATTTGATACTTAAAACAAGCATTAAAAAATCCTGTCACATTTCTTACTCAATAGAGGAATCTAGTATACGGGTAACAGTGAAAATGCAAATGATTTATTCCACTTGGGTTGCTGTTAAATGCTGTTATATGAGTTGTACAGTTGTACACATCTTTTCATCCCAGTTGGAAGTTGCAACTGGAACTACAACTGATTTAGAATCTTAGATCAACTAGAAAAATTATCTCCACTTTTCATAGAATCTTTGCTTACTATGATTTTCACACTTAGGAGCAGTTACTTCCTTATTATGATTTGTGCACTTAGCAGTAGCTTGAAAAATCAATTCTTTGAGCAAGGAGATCGAGGTTTGTTGCCATACCTCGATGGCACAATATTCACAATATTCTTTCATAATTTTCATTTCTGTCAAGTTGTAATTCCTCTCATTTTTTATTTTGAGCATTTATGTCTTTCCTTTGTCAATCTAAAGTCCACTGCAATCGAGTCTAGTCCAACTTATAGCAACCTTATAGGACACAGTAGAACTGCTCCATGGGATTTCCAACGCTGTAATCTTTAGGGAAGCAGACTATCTCTTTTTTTTCTGTGAAGCTGCAGGTGGATTCGAACTGTCCAGTTAACAGTCCGATCCAGTGCTTAAAACACTGGACCACAAGGGATCCTAGGAGTCAAGATAAAGATCTGTAAATTTTATTGATCTGTTCAAATAAAGTATTTTTTAAATACCTATCCACTGCGTGCATACACACACATTTGTTGTTGTTAAGTGCTGTTGTCAGTTATGACTCACATATATATTATATACATAAAAGTTTGCAAAATTCTGCTTTGATTACACACAATGTTTGGAACACAATGGAAATTTTCCATTAATCTCTAAAATCTCTTCGATTCTCCTTGCTCAATGAAGTTAAAGACAGAATTAGTGATTAAAAAGAAAAAAAATCTCCCAACACCACACCTTCCCCACCCCCAAAGGAAGTCCTGGAGCAGATGGATTCACTGGAAAATCTTATACCAAACATTTCGAGAAGAATTGACACCAATACTACTTAAATTATTCAAACACACATGCACAGAAGAAAGGAAGGAAGGAAGGAAGGAATGCTAATTTATTCTATGAAGCAAACACAGCCCATGTAACTGAAACCAAAGACATCACAAAAAAGAGAAAACTGTAGCCCAATATTACTAATGAATATAGTTTCAACAACTGCAACAAAGTACTCATGACCAGAATCCAACAGTATTTTAAAAGAGTCATACCCCATGACCAAGTGGAACTTACTCTAAGAATGTAAAGATGGTTCAGCATTAGAAAAATCAGTCAATGTGATGCATCATATTGATAGAATAAATAAAAAGAACCACATGATCATCTCTAAGTATGCAAAAAATGCATTTGTTAAAAGCCAACACCCTTTCTTGATAAGAACCCTAAAGAAGAGTGAAATTGAAGGGACATTCTTCAGTATGATTCAGGGCATATAAGAAAAGTGATTAGTCAAAATTATGCTTAATGAAGAAACAGGGCAAGTTTTTCTCTTGAAATCAGGAATAAGACAAAGTGATTATGCTCACCACTTATATTGAATGTTTAATTAGCAGTTTTATCTAAAACAATGTGATAAGAAAAAGAAATAAATGATTAGAAAAGAAGTGAAATTACCTCTATTCATGGATGATATGATTCTATGTATATATAATCTCAATAGAGTTCACAAGAAACCGTCTATTGCTAATTGAGAAATGTGTCAGAGTCAGGTTACAAGGTCAACAAACAAAAATCATCTGGATTTCTATATACCAGCAGTAATAAATCTAAAAAGGAAATTAGAGAAACAATTCCATTTATAATAGCATCTATTGTTGTTATATGCCACTGAGTTGCTGCCAACTGATAGTGACCCTGTACACAACAGAACAAAACACTTTGCAGTCCTGTGCCAAGCACACAATCTTGGCTATACTTGAGTTAATTACTGCTGCCGCTGTTCCATTCCATCACATTGGGGGTCTTCTTTTTATTCTCCAACCCTCCACTTTACCAGGTGGGCTGCCCTTTTCCAGGGACTGGAGTATTTAGGAGAATAAAATACCTAGCAATAAATCTAATCAAGGGTGTAATGAACTTCTTCAGTGATAACTATATACATTGCTGAAGGAAATTAAAGAGTTAAATAAATGGAAAGATGTTCTAGGTTCTGCTACTCAAAGTGATCTATCTATATAATGCCATACCTGTCAAAATTTCAATAGCCTTCTTTTGAGAAATAGAAATGCCAGCCCTCAACTTTATATGGAATTGCAAGAAGCCCTGAATAACTAAAATAATGTTAAAGGGAAAAACTAATGCTGGTAAGGATATGGGGAAATTGGAATTCTTATCCATTGCTGGTGGGACTGCAAAATGGTAGAGTCAGTGTCATTGTAGATAACAGTGGAGCAGTTCCTCAAAAACTATAAATAGAACTACCATCATTGATTATATTGTTAAGTGTCCTCAAGTCAGTTCCGACTCATAGTGACCCCTTAATAGGGTTTCTGAGACTTTTAAAATCTTTTTTTTAGTTTCTTACTGAAGGATTTTTTTTTTTAATTTATTGTGAATTATGTGATAGTTTACATGGACATTAGCTTTACATTCATCCCATCATATATCATTTCATTGCCATGGTTACAATCCCCTCCATGCATCATCAACCAGCCAAAGGGTATATCCTGCCCCTCAGGCGTCAGCACACAGCCCCTCTCCCTCTCTGAGTCTAGAGTCCCCAGACACTCCATCTCTCCATGTCATCGTCTCTGCCTCCATCTCTGCTATCACTGCTTCTCTGAGTAGGGTCCTGCCTCAGCTCTTCTCCCTTGATGGTTACAGGTACCACCACTCCTGGACTGCAATGTCAGTCACTTCCCTCTTTTTGCTACAAAATATCCACCTTAACATTTCCAACCCTCACAACCAGTCCTGATAACAATTATTCACCACTGGTA